GTTGCTCCATTTCTCTTTAGGCCAGTCAATGTGCTCTTTTTGGCAAATTGTAACCTCTTCAGCACATGTCTTTTTGTCAACAGTGGGACTTTGCGGGGGCTTCTTGCAGATAGCTTGGCTTCACATAGGCGTCTTCTAATTGTAACAGTACTCACTGGTAACTTTAGACCTTCTTTGATCTCCCTGGAGCTGATTGTTGGCTGAGCCATTTTGGCTATTCTTCTATCCATTCGAATGGTAGTTGTTCGCTTTCTTCCACGTCTTTCAGGTTTTGGTTGCCATTTTAAAGCATTTGCGATCATTTTAGCTGAGCAGCCTATCGTTTTCTGCACTTCTTTATATGTTTTCCCCTCTCCAATCAACTTTTTAATGAAGGTACGCTGTTCTTCTGAACAATGTCTGAAACGACCCATTTTCCTCAGAATTTCAGAGAGAAATGCACTGTAACCAGCATGTACAACATTTGCTGCCTTCCTTAAATAAGGGCAATAATTGCCACCTGTTTTTCAAAGAATAAATGTCCTCACTAATAGAACTCCACACTGCTATTATTTTCAACATGCCCCTTTCAATTAGTGATTCAATTACACAGAATCAGCAGCATGCATGTCATGACTGTTGGGTCTGTTGGATTTCTATTACTCTACTACACCTGCTAGTAAATTATTTGCCATGTAGAAATATCATTTCTACCAAAAACCATGATTGATCAGGTTAGTGATGCCTGACTGCTATTATATTGAACACAACTAATATATATCTCTCAATACATACAAATGTATAAATGAATGGCGAACGAAATGGACACATACTAAGTCCAAAAAATAACAGTCCCAAAAACACAGTGTGTGAATCTCCTGCTCAAAGAAGCGTGTAGAATGCAGTGACCAAACAAAAAGGAGGGCAATCATTCACAGCCTAGCATGCGTGCTCACCTTTAAGCTGTGACCCTGAAGCGGTCACAAAGCGTAAATGCAAATGGATGATCCTCAACCAGATGGATCTCAATGGCGGAACACATGAAAGCTCCTCTCCATGGCATCCACCGCAATCAGTGCTAACGATGTCCTTTTAGGGTGTGTATACCTTTTAACTCTCCACCTCCAAAATTCCTCATAATAAGAGAGCTCCCATTAGTGTAGTACATAAAAGCTTTTATTAAGTAAATGAACAATGGAACTACTCACAAAAAATACATGGGTCTGCAGACCCAGAAAGCAGTCACTGTATTGTAACAGCACAGGGTGTATGAGGTTGGGAGTACCAAGATGGCAGCTGCCGTCCGTACCGTAATGACATCACCATGCTACCATCCTGCGTGTTACGTCACGAGTCACGTGACTTCACTTGATGGTCCCTAGTCACCATTTGTGCCACATTTATTCTGTGTCATTTCCTTATACCACTCTTTATTAATTTTGACTTTTTATTTTTTTTTTTGTGTGTGTCACTTATCTCTTAGATTGTAAGCTCCAAGGAGCAGGGCCCTCCTAACCCTCTTGTATTGTTGCTGTATTGTCTCCCGTTATATTGTAAAGCACTGAGCAAACTGTTGGCGCTATATAAATCCTGTATAATAATAATAATAATATAATGTAGTAATTCACTGACATTTGCTCCTCTTTGTTATGATCACGCCATTTTATTTGTTAGACCACTGTAGATTCACTCCTTGAGTTATCATTGTGCACTTTTAGCACTGGTTGTATGTGAAGTATTCTATTTTATCCTTTATTTTGTGATTATTCACTCATTATTAGAATTTTATGTGTTATTGTTTAATTAGGTTTACCCATAGTAGTGCAGCACCATTTGTTCTCACTTATTGCCTTTCACTATTTGTTTGTAGTCAGGTGTTAGCAGCTACTTAATTTTCTTCTTTGAGTTAGTTTTTTTTGGCAGCGCAGTAGGTTCCTCTCTTACTTTTTAACCAATTCAATACCAGGCAATTTTACACCTTCCTGCCCAGGCCAGTTTTCAGGTTTCAGCGCTCTCACACTTTGAATGACAATTGCGCGGTCATACAACATTGTACTCAAATTAAAATTTATCATTTTCTTCACACAACTAGAGCTTTCTTTTGGTGGTATTTAATCACTGCTGGGGTTTTTATTTTTTGCTAAATTAACAAAAAAAAGACCAAAAATTTTGAAAGAAACACACGTTTTTCTTTGTTTCTGTTATAAAAGTTTGCAAATAAATAATTGTTCTTCATAAATTTTAAGCCAAGATGTATTCTGCTACATGTCTTTGGTGAAAATAACCCAAATTAGGATGTATTTTTTAGTTTGTAGGAAAGTTATAGAGTTCACAAACTATGGTATAGATCTGAATATTGATCAATCTTGAAGTACTGACGGCCAATCTAATTTCTTGAGGTCCAAGAATGTCAGAACAGTACCGATATCCCCCAAATGACCCCTTTTTGCAAAGTAGACAGTCCGACATACTTCATAAGAGGCATGGCGAGTTTTTTGAAGTTGTATTTTTTTTTTGTCATAATTTTTCAGAAAATTAAAATTAGTTTCACTATTTATTTTTTTTTTTTTACATATTGTCACCAGTGCAGTACAGCGTCATCATGTAACTGACATGGCGGTGATCAGGGACACTGACTGGTGACAGTATGAAAAAAAAAAATATATATATATTTTTTTTTAATTTTTGTATTTTTTATTTTAAGATTTTTTTTTTTTTCATATTTCACTATGACCAAAATAGTACAATGTTACCATAGTAACATTGTACTACTTTGGGGAAGTGATCAGTATTTTTTTTTTTTTTACACAATTTGCCTATGGCAAAGAATTACTTTGCTATAAGCAAGCATTTTACCTGAATGACATCAATTCATTCAGGGTTTTTTTTTTTTTTTTTGGGCTTAGCTGTGATTTGGCCACAGCTAATCACATGACGTGCATGTGATTAGCTGTGACCATTCACAGCTAGGCAGTAGTATACAATGGACGGCATGAATGAAGCCATCCATTGTATGCAACTGTCATGTGACCTGCTGTGATTGGTCACAGCAGGTCACGTGGTACTGGCAACGGGGGCCGATACTCAGATCTGTCATCGGCCGTGTCCAAGGTACACGGCCGGTGACAGATCGCGCGGCTCTGCAGGAGCGCAATCTGCGCATGTGCGGGAGGACGCCATATGGCGTCCACCTGGAACGCTGATGACATTTGCCGGCCGCCATTCCGCCATAGGGCTGGCGGCAAATGGTTAAACATGTCTGCCTTTGTTGTTCTTTATTACATATTGGGTCAGTGGGATTGGTAATTAACAAAAGTAAATTAAGATTTTATTTGCTGTCATTTAAGCTGAAGGCAAGTGACAAGGACACAGGATTTTTCTGGCTAAAACATTTTCAGCAAGAAAACACTTGTTGATCTTGACAGAAATACAAACTAATACAGTTTGCACATGCAAGCACTGCTACGCGGTCCTATATTAATTTTTGTTTTTAGGTTTAGATGAGCTTTTTAATAACGTTTACTTGTGAAGGTCAAGTGGGCTTTCTATAATTCAGGTGCCTTTTTTTTTTTTTTTTTCTTTTTTTTTTTTTTTCATCAGGCTTTGTACATATACATAACAAGATTTGCAAACCAGGCATTTATAGGTCAGCCCTTTGCCTTTAAAGCATGACCTAAGAAGTGAAGGGAGAATACAGAAGTGAGAATTTTTAAAATGCTTACAATAATTTTATTGGTAGGGACAGCCACAAATCAATGGCAAGGAGAGGATTCATTGATAAAAAAAAAAACAATGGCATTTACCTTGAACGTACATTTTACATTTTGGGAGCACAGGTACATAATTATGTACAAAAGGCCCTCCATGTAAAGACTGTGCTTGCAAAAATTCTTTTAAGCAGAAACTGCTGCTTCTGTCTTTTTATGTTTGGTGGTTTATTATCAATATACAGTGAGGAACAGAAGTATTTGAACACCCTGCGATTTTTGCAAGTTCTCCCACTGAAACTCCGTGTTGCTCAGCGACAGCCCCGAAACCTGACAGATCTAGAGGAGATCTGTGTGGAAGAGTGGGACAAAATCCCTGTTGCAGTGTGTGCAAACCTGGTCAAAAACTACAGGAAACATTTGACCTCTGTAATTGCAAACAAAGGCTTCTGTACCAAATATTAACACCGATTTTCTCAGGTGTTCAAATACTTATGTTCAGCAGTGCAAGACAAATAAATTCTTTAAAAATCATACAATGTGATTTCCTGAATTTTTTTTTTTTTAATTCTGTCTGAGTGGGAATGCACCTACAATGTGAATTTCAGACCCCTCCATGATTTCTAAGAGGGAGAACTTGCAAAATCGCAGGGTGTTCAAATACTTCTGTTCCTCACTGTATGTGTTTTTTTTTTTTTATATAGATCAGGGGTCTCCAAACATTCTACATAGAGGGCCAGATTACTGTCTTTTAAAACTTTAGGGGGGCTGGACTGTGGTCAGCGGGAGTAAACCATACCCCATGATTGTTATTTGGGGAGTAATGGTGCCCCTTCTTTGTATCCATGGGAGTAATATGCCCAACCATTGTTGTTGGGGGAGGAATAGTGCCCCTTCGTTGGTGTCAGGGGGAGGAATAGTGCCCCATCACTGTATATGGGGGAATAATAGTGCCCCATCACTGTATATGGGGGAATAATAGTGCCCCATCACTGTATATGGGGGAATAATGGTGCCCCATCACTGTATTTGGGGGAATAATTGTGCCCCATCATTGGTATCAGTGGGAAGAAGGGTGTCCCAAAGTTTGTATCCGTGAGAGGAATAGTTCATTGTTGGTGTTAGTGAGAGGAACTATACCCCACTGTTACTGAGTGGGTGGAATAATGCCCCAGGGGCTGGATAAAAGCAATCAAAGGGCTGCAGTTTGGGGACAACTGATATTGATGAATATGGGTTTGTTGACCTTATTTTATAACAATAGCGGTCAGTTATATTTCTACTAATATATATTTTATATCCTTTTAATTGTAGAAAGGCATGCTGTGTGCTGATGAAGACATGGCCCAGGCAGCCAAAGACTGCATCCTTATGTATTCACAAGAAGGAACTGAATCCATTGCTGGGTCTGTTGGCTGTTGTAGTTTGGTTGAAAGCGAGTTTGAAGATGACCGTTATCTGGATGATCTGGGACTGAAGTTCAAAGTCTTAGCAGATATTTGCCTAGGTGTAAATGTAACCAGTGATGCAGACATATCTAAGTATACAGCCTATGAGGAAGTTAGACAAGGTGCTGTAGTAGCAGATATTGATCTAGTTCACAAGGAAGAGGAGGTAGAGCAACATGGCTATGAAATGGAAGGCTCCTATATGTCATCGGAATCTCATGTTCAGGAGGCTCAACCAACAGTGAGGGAGAATGTGGTGACTGAAGAATCCCTTGTTACATCTAAATACGTACAGGAGCCAGTCATGCGTGGTAATATACTGGTCACAGAGAAAACCTACACCACTGCTCCTAGGGTTTTTCTTGAGCCAGTTCATACTCAGAATGTACTGGTGACAGAACGAGTAATTCGGCCTGCCACCAGCTTGCATAATGTGCTGGAGGTTACTGATGCAGAAAATGTTATGTTAACTGAACGAGTAAGGAAGTCTGAAAAAAATTTGTCTACCCTGGTGGGTGTAGCGGAAGCCCCTGAGTCCCAGTATCTGCTGGTCACAGAACGAGTTCTTGCACCCAGCCCCAATGTCAAAGCTGCTGTTAGTATTCCTGATGTGTCTATGGGGAAAAGTGTGATCGTGACAGAGAGACATTTTGCCCCGATATCTGGGATTAATGGCAATGTGGTCATTCCTGCAGAGCTGTCAGCTGGCCCTAGTGTGGTAAAAGAGAGCGTGTCTATCTCAGATGGTTTAAATCAAGGACGATCGGTGTATACAAAAGGGGGATTTGGGGTGGAAGAAACTCCATCTTCAGGCAGCACTGTAGGAAATTCAACAAGCAGAGTGACAAAATACAGTAAGGTACAATATACACGTTCCTAAGCCAGTCTTGTAGAACACTGGATTAGTGTAAAGTTTTGCTTTTAGCTTTCAGAGTATTTTATACAAAGCCACTGAGATATTATATTATACAAAAGCACAAAGTTGCACAAAAATATAAGTATTTGTTGAAAAAATATTTTTTTTTTATTCATAATATAAAATAGTTAATCGAGATTACAAGACCTGCTGATCCACTGAGTAGACCATTTTGTAAACCATGTCATGGTGAAAATGCTTTCTTATAAAACCTAAAAAAAAATCTTAACTGTTGTATTTTTCAAATGCAAACTCCACTGGTGCCTAAGCTATTAGAACACAAAAATCAATTAGTCTAGAATGATTTTATTATAGTCTTTTTAGAACTTTTATTTACATTTTAAAATGGTTAAAAATATATTTTATTGGCAGTATTAAAGCCAACACCACCATTGATTTCTGTCTATTTGACAGGTGTTGTAACAAGAAGTTGGGGAAATTCTCTGTAAAATGGGACACAAGCATGAATAAAAACATGTTTTTTAGCAGAGTGGAGAAGCATTAGAACTTGTGTTAGGTTTATATTACTGTGCCCCCACTGGTGTGATTCCTGTTGTTTCCTCTTCAAATCTAACCTGGGCTAGAGTTGTACTTTAATGGGCTTTATAACATACATACAGCTTGTCTGATCTATCCCTTTATTTAAATCCAAGGCCCTGCTATCATTTTCATTAGTGGTTATTCTGTCAAAGTTTCAGTAGGTTGGCTAGCCAAAGAACAAAAGTATATCCAAAAACAGAAGGATGTGGTTTGGTCAGGACCAGGAAGACATCAGAAGAATGGGGAAATATACATATTCACACTTTCTCATAATCTTTGAGAGAGAAAAATAATTTATACAGCATGTGGATACTGTCTTACACAAATACAATCTTTCTATAATTTACATTTATATGAATATATATATATATATCTTTGACATTTTTAATCAACTTAAAAATGTATAGGATTGCCATTAACAGTCAATATTCATCATTATGTATTTGCATACTAAGTCGGAGTTGCTGCTAGTTCAACCTTTTTTATGGATTTATTAGGTATACACTGCAAGAAGCAGCAAAGCACAGTCACCCATGGGGAAAAAAATCACTACAAACATAAGGCATAGTAACAGTACTTACTTTGTGTGTATACTGCAAACTGATTTTGTGGCTTTGACTGTTGGCCAACAGATTTGGTTGTTTTAGACCATATATAATGAACTCACTGTCTTGTGATAATGGTGTTTCCTGTACATTATTTGTATGAAAAGTTTTTAGACTGTTCACACATGGTTACTGCTACTGTTAAGTTACTGTTTTGTACATTTAAGCCCTGACCGATTCTGCAGCAAGCACCACAAACATTTATTCAACTGCTTTCTGAAACTGTGTCTGGTGTTTGTGCAATAGTTCTGGACCAATAGAATTGAGGCTTGGTTCTGATAGATATGCAGTGGAGTAGGTCTTCCTTCAAAGGAGCTGATGCATTATAAAGGTCTAGTGTGGGTGGACCTTTTTCTTGTCCTAGACTGCTATCCCTCTGATTGTGACAAATGAGTGATCAGATGATAAAACTCTAGAGTGGGTATTGAGGAACACCTGATACAAAAGTTCATATCACTCACAGGTCTTTTTGAAGTGCTTCAAAAAAAACTCCAGGAGTGTTTTAATACAGAGTGTGGAATTTGTGGAGATGGACATTGGGGCCAGTTCACTCAAGCATAAAGCATGGCATTTTTTTATTACTAAGCATTAGAGATGTGTGTGATTGCAATGGTGTTTACAGTTCATTCAAAGTTGTATTGCAAGTCCTCGCACATCTTGATGAACTGACCCTGACATCTGTCAGTCTGTACAAATGCTAAATCTGGTAGCATAAAAGATGAATGTACCCCCTTCAATAAACAAGTTCATTTGGACTAAACTCAGAATTCTGTGACCTTTTGTCAGTGAGTGTGTACTGAGGCCCTAAGAATGCTCATAGTGACACAATTTCATATGTTCTTTACAGTGGAGGGTTTATTGTCCCAAATACACATTCATGTGATATTAAAAAATACCTGGTTTGAAAGGGTTGTTAGGGCAATTCACATAGTTTTCACACTGATTGTTTAAAGTCTTCTGGAATTCAAGAAGCATACGATTGTGTCTCAAGACTGCCAGCCATTGAATGTTCCTTACAATAACTCCAATGTCTATGGTGTTAGTAAGATTAATAGTCCTCTACATTAGTCAAATAAAATTCTGATTTGAACCATCATTTCATAAGAAAAGATGTTCTGTATCTAAATGTCTGTATTTTTGTATGGCTTCATAAGGTATTTCAGTAAGCACATGGCATTACTTTTTTGTATTGCTTTAGTTAAAATAATATAAAGGAAAAGTAGTGTGAAAAGTTCTGATTTTTGCTACTTTTCATATGAGGAAACCTGTTTTGGTAACATTTCTATATCGTCATTCATAGATTCCTATGTCTTGCAAGTAGAACTTACAAAAAATAGTAGCAGCGATAATGGCAGAGTATATATTGCATTGAGTGGAGAGTCCTGTGTTTTGTTTTTTTTTTTGGTTTTTTTTTTTGTATTGTATTTCCATCTTCAGGAGCACACAATGCAATACTTACAACTGATGGAAAATGAAAGAAATGTGTAACCTAAAGTAGAACTTTGGCCTCTTTTACATAAAAAAAATAAATTCTTCAGCACCAAATTATGCATGCGCACTTTCAGATTTTTCTAAAAAGTACCATGAATACCTCCTAGATTCTGCCAGTGAGATCCACATAATACAGCTTCCTGTGATATTGTGTCAACTGTGCTGCACTGCTCCTGAATTCAAAGTAGTGTTATCACACTCGTGTAGATTGTCTCCGCATACACTACAGTAGGATGACAAAAATGTTGAACTGGGCATGGCTGTCAGCATTGTCACTGCTGATTCACAAGTCTGTAGCTTGTCAAACACTGGCCACTGCTTTCTGTGTGCAGTACTGCCTTCCTCTTGCTGAGTAAGCTGCAGTGTCAAGACAGGATTAAAGTGAGACAAACTAAGGAGGATTTGGCTCAGTCATGAAAGGCGAAGGACGTTTTTGCTTACTTTATGAAGCTTCACATAGTTACTGGATTTGGTACTTGTTTAGACTGCTTTACGTTGAGCTTAGCCCTGCCTGCTACAATAGGAACTCTTTAAATTCTATTAATGATATTTTAAAAGACATGTATGGACTTAAAAAAAAAAAAAAAAAAAATAGCTTATACTCACCTAGGCAAATGCAGCATTGATCTGGTACTGTATCTCTCTCCTACTGACACACCACTGATTGCTCCCTCTTCCACTGTGAGCAGAGAGCCGTAACTGTCTGTCTCTCTGCTCTGCCCCTACAGCTCTCTAATGCTTTGGCTATACTTCTCCTTTTAAAAATGCAGGTATTGATAACTAAATTTTAAATATGTATTGCTCATATTTAGGATAAAAATCCTACATTTCAAATTGTCCTTTTTAAATATCTCAAATGTTTATCACCGAAGAATTTTGTGATAAGGGCAAAAAGCGAAATGCTACCTTTCTGGAAACACCTTTTTTTAATGTAAATAATGTACATATTACATGAGACCTACTGACGTTTTATTTAGAAAATAAAATCAATTCAGCCTTTATTGCAGCTTGTACATTCATTTTTTTTTTTTTTTTTTTTTTTAATTTCTTTTTAGAGTATTGGATTTTGTATAAAAAAAATAAAAAAAAAACACTAATTACAATGGTGTCAATAAGTAACCTATGACGTATTCATTATTTTTCTAATGTATGTTTTTTTTTTCTATTGTAGAATAATGAATAACAAATTAACTTGTACATGTTAAATGTAATTTTTTTTTAAATGCAAGTTTGGACCAGTAGTAATAAAGTTTGTGTGTTTATGTTTTTTTTTTTTTGGCTTGTAACATCATGACTTATTGCTTAACCATACTTCTCTTTTGACACTGTACAGCTAAAAGAGGAGCCTAATAGATGTTGCTGGGCTAATCTTTTGTAGAATAAAATACACCACTCACCCTGCTCCTTTTTGTCTCTAAATGGGCTGTTTTGGGAACTGCTGATATCAATGCAACCGAAAAATGTATGTTCAATCCTGACTCTTAAAAGATAAGTTAACCTTTTTTGTAGGAAAAAAAAATTGTAAATTTTTTTTTCTTGCAGGTAAAAAAAATGTGCATTTATTTTTTTTTTGAAGCCTTCATTGAGAACTACAAGCCAACATCCATAAAGACTGTTAGTACTTCTAGTTCTTCCATTTACAGAACTCTGTGAATGAATGAGATGGCCGAGTGGGCGGATCTCTACATAGCTGTGTTTTTTTTTTTTTTAAATTGTGATAAATTGGTGTTGGGAAAGGATTCCCCAACTCACTATCGCAATTGGGGGTTGGGAGGGAGTGCGAGGGCTGCAGCAACAGTAACATATTACACCGAGTATGAGAGTAACATGTAAGATGTTGCAAAAGGTGAACATTTCCTTTTTAAAGTGAAATTAAACGCTACTGCCAGCATTAGTGTCAACCTGCGGTTTGCCTAGGGCAAGGTAACGGGAAATCTGAAATGGGCTCCGCAGCATCTTTTGCTTGCTTTCCCTCTTGCTCCCCTGCAGCCGCTGGGTTAGATGAGAATGAACTCTGTAAGCTCCAAGTAGATCGTAGTTTTTGCATATGCAGAGATGAGGGCTCTATCCCCTCCCTTGTGTGACTGCATTGGTGCCAGAGTAGCCAATCACCAAGCGCCAGTACTGTGATGGGAGAGTAAAAGGTGTGAATCGGATGCTTCCTTATACCTAGAAGTACCAGGCCCTAAATTATTATATTATACAGGATTTATATAGCGCCAACAGTTTGTGCAGCGCTTTACAATATAAAGGGAGACAATACAGTTCAATACAAGAGGGTTAGGAGGCCCTGCTCCTTGAAGTTTATAATCTAAGAGATGGGGAAAG